CATTATGCAGGAATAGATGCCATGCATGCGATTTATTGTTCATCTTCAACTCTTCCTACCTCCCGTTATTTATAAGAAAAAGGGCAATTTCAATCTTCAGAGCACTGAATATAAATTTTGAAAAATTTTGACTTGTTTTTGTTTGTTAACTGCTGTTTTTGGCCGCAGTTCGCCTTGCGAATGTTTCACAAGAATGCTGGGTTGTGAACAAAACTTTCGCCCCAGGCGGGACTAGAACCCGCACCTCTCGCTTTCCGGGCAAGTGCGCTACCAGTTACGCTACCGGGGCACCATTTCATTCCCAACTCAGCTTTTCATGGTATACGTACCATAGCTTTCAGCACTCACACGTATAACACACGTACGTCCTCGAGATAAGGAAATTCTTTCCTACGGTTGGTGGGATATATAGCTCTCATCGTTGTGAAAAGGATGGCAGTATGGGGGATTACGAGAACGAGGTGTAGAAAGTGTTGGAGCTAGTTCCAACTGTGTGCCTGGCTGAGGTAGTAATTGCGACTGTTTGGAAGCGTGTCTTGGTGTTAGGGAAAGCTTTCTAAAGTCGAAGAGAGTTGCGGGTGCTGTTGTTTGGTTGCGGGAATAACGGGGTCGCTTTTGACGACTGACGATCTTGGGAAGGCTTCGAGAGAGGAGCGTGGAAAAGGCAAAATCTGAACCGTTCTCATCTCTTTAGACAGATACACCCCCGCGGCCTTCTCGACGATAGTTTTCGAGAGAAAAGTGGACGGAGTTGGAGAGTTTCGGCATTGATTGTCAAAAGTACCATATCGAGAAGCCCCAGCCATGGCTCCGTGTCGGATCTCCTAACCGCCAGCCGTGTGACGGCGTTTTAATCGTCAAAGGATCAGACTTGGAGCAATTTCCACTCTATGTGGAACAATGGCACCTACTGGCAATGCACAAAAAAATCACAACGATCACTGAAGATGAGTTACTCGTCATCCATTCGGTCAGCATACTCTCAAACCATTAGCGTACCTCAGATCCAAGGCCTGAGTCAGCCCTTGAAGACACTTCACAGTGATTTTCGCTACACTTCCGAATGCACGGTTTTTGATTCGGAGCAAAGCGGCAAGACGACAGAACAAACTGAAATAAGACTACTTCAAACCAACAGATTTCCTTGCAATTTGCACTCTCCATAATATGAAGAAATTTTCGATTTTTAGTGCTGCTAAATTTAGAACGTCTCACCAACCATAAGAGCTTAGAGCCTTAGAGACTTTGTCAAAATTGCAGAGCACGATGTCACTCACTTAGCGACCATTTCTTTTTCTCTGTTGCTAGCCGTTCCCGTCTGCACTATGGTGGAGCCTTCAAGGAAGTAGTTCTTGTGTGCATTGAAGTACGCATGCATCAGTGGAAGGACGACCTGAGAATAAAGGATACTATAAAAAAGGATTTGTAAATCATAAAAAGTGAAGATGAGCAGGATGGTGGGAAGCTCTAAACAAATCTGATGTCCAACAGGTACCTTTTCGAAGAATTTCACATCCTGTCCCTCTTTTCTGAACGTATTCCTCCTGGTAAGTTCCTGGCTAGGTTTCACCGATTTCATCTTGAGACTTGCTTGTTCCAAATATTGAATAAGTTTCTCGAGGAGATTGTATGCAAACCTAAAACTCGAGTTTCTCGAGGATGATTGTATATATGCAAACACTTAACCTCGGATTCAATAGTTCCGATAGAATTTGAAAATGTAAAGAGTTTCGAGAATTTTTACTATATTTCTAAAATGGAGAGGAAATTTGTGTAGTTTTTCAGATTGATAAAATTTATTGACTGCAATGAATATAAAGATGAAGGATGATGATATATAAATACATGAGCTATATAAGAACAAATAGTAGAATAGTAATTTATGAATAGCGCACTGAAAAAATTACCTCTTTGTCGACGAATATCGTTCACCCGACGTTACGCCCTGCTAGACCTCGTCGTTTTGGCTAAAAAACAAATGAAGTATCAGATTATCTTCCACATCAAAATGAATATTAGATCGTTGATTATCAGACTAAAGGTAGGAATGCAAGTCCGGATCAGTGTGGATGTATCCTCTAAGTTACAGGACTAGTTCAGGAAGGTCGCAATCACAGCTTTTCCTCTTTGAGCAGGCAACCGTGCCGTGCGGATTCTCCAAAATTTTGCCGACGGAGAAATGAGGTTATATGAAGCGACAAAGCTTCTTTTTATAATTCGTAGAACTTTCACATGTCGGAGAAGCGTCTTATCTAATCCTTCAAACGACTCTCGTTCACATTTCGAAGACCGCTAATCTCGCTCAACACCAAAATACGACCCCCTCGGCTTCCTCTTTTCTTGCTTACTTGCCAAGCTTTCACATGTATTCCTTTTGTGTGCGCAACCATTCATCTTTAATCTATGGAATGCGTGCAATTCCAAAATAGTCAGTACAGCCAGCTACGGACATCTCCTAAGACAAGAATGAATATTTGGGTAACTGCATATTATAATTGTCTATTCATGAGTCGGTAAGCTCAGTCAGTACGAGGAAGGGCCGGTTGTGATTTTAAAAGGGCATCGTCTATAACGAAATCAGGCGAGTGCAAAACCTTCTGCTTCGAAGCCTGCTATCTTAATTCATAGATGAGCTATGAGCTTGGGATATTTGCTCGACAGGTGCCCAATTTTCAACAATAACTCTGAAGTTAATTCACGTAATTCCATTAACTGCATCGAATTTCAGGATCCAGTTTACGCGAAACGGTCTTACGGTCTCTCCGAGTTCCGTCGCGCAAATCCCACGGTACCAAAATGGTAGGTAGGAATCCGCCTTTTGTATTCAGGTCATTCCATACCTTCAGAGCAAAATAAGTCATCATTTGAAAACCAAAATCTGTAGGTAACGATCGTTTCTCNACNGAANNTCAGAACTTTCGTTCTTTCGTTTTTTTGTTTCTCTTTCCCCAAAACTTGTTTACACTTCAACACAGTTTCTCGAATTTTCTTACCAGTTGTGGCACATCTTAGCGTACGGAAAAATACATAAATAATTAAATGGATAAATAAATAAATAAATAAATAAGTAAAGTTAGACTTCTGAAAGTATACCTTTTTCGCCAGATCAGTATGAGAGTGCATGCGCATTTTTTCACCGGCTACACATATCCTGCAAAATTAAGTCCTTATATAAATTTACAAGCATGAGCGTATTGGCGATAGGAAGAACAATAAATAGGGTGGAAAATGTTATCAAAACAACAATGTTTGTGAGACCGTCAGAATTTCGGTATTTTCATTCCAGAGGAATGACAGAAGTGCGTGGACGATTCGCATTTATGGACTCATCGTTTTCCCCTAAAGTTTCAGTCAGCCCAGCGATCCATAGAGTGGACGTAGCGGAGGCGAACTTTCATCTCATTACCATCACTCATTTCATGAGATTTGTCGAAGCACGAGCAGACTACAAAAAGTCAAATATGTAAGTCGGCAAATTTACCTTTTCAAGAGTCATGCTAGAAAGGTCCACTGGTTTTGGAGCAAAGTTTTGGATGCTGGTGCCGGAAGGCGTACGAGCGCTGGCCGCCCGATCGGCAGCATCCCGATCGGTCAATTCGAATGTGTAGTTCCAAGCCAGGAGCGCTTTCAAACACTCCGCACATCGGTCTTTGTAGAAAGATTTCTCCTGAAATCAAGTGGAAAGCCTATTCAATCAGCGGAACGTTGCACTAAATATTTTTTTGTGGCTCAGCTTCACAGAAGCATTTTTTGCTTATATGCGTCTACTACTAGTATGTATGTTTCGAGACTGGTTGAATAATGCTGTGTAGCAGTGAAGTTAGTTAGAAGTTATACCGTCTAAGTTATGCTTAAATTCTATCTTGAAACAAAAATTATTCATTCAAAACAGTCAAAAAAGCATAATGAACTAACGAATTCTTTGAGCTGGCTGTATGGCTTCAGTCGAGGATGTGTAAGATTCTGACGTGAGTACAGGTCACCATAAACCCATCCTTTTTCTATCTGAAAACAAACGATTTCAACAGAAATTGATTCATTGAACAATTACACTGTTACCAAATCATACGATAATCAGGTGAGAGAAGTGGTGACCTACGGCAAATATATAGAAAATATCTAAAAAATCTAATCTGTACGATTTTGGCACGGCTTTGAGATTTGGAAGCGGTAAGAAACAAACAAGGAGTGTGGAGAAAAAAACCATTCTTTAATGTGATTGTTCTAACGCATCGACCAGTTTTTCCAGCGCCGATTGAAAACGCAGCGCAGGTTGATTCCTACTGATATCATAGCGACTTGGGAGAGATTTTGACTTTGCCTAACCACGAAAACTGGCACCAAGTACACTTGAAATGGTGGTATATTGTCATCTTCAGACCATAATAAACTCAAAATTGTAACTAAGCTAGCAACGCGTGAACTGTGGCGCCTTTGAACTATCTATCAATTTTCCCATCCGTGCCCTCCTGTGCTGTTTCATTTCCATAATTATTAATGGGCCTGACCAACCTTTCGACTAGCCCATGAGTCATGGAAATGTTCAGCGAATGCTTCAGTCATCGACTGCAAATCCCTTGGAAGATCGATTCGTGAGACGTCGACAGTCTTCGGCACCCAACCACTATCGTCCACAATTTCCTGAAACAACATAAGTCTGTAAACCTATCACCTATCGAGAAACGTTTGAAACTTTGACTTTACCTTCAAGAGAGCACTGTTGCTCACCTTAAGCTTTGTGGTATCATCACCACCGCTAGTAAGGGTATAATCCGGAGAGATAGCTGATCCGATTGCTGTCAGGCATGGCAAGGCCTGAAAACGCAATTTTTATTACAGCTGCAAATATCCCGTACATGGAGATGAAATGAACATAAAGCTTGTAGAAACGACAACAGCCCAGCGGCTAAGAGATGCTTCCTTCCTCAATGCGTGAAGTTTTTATGTTTTACGCAAGGAATGGATGTTCCGTGGTTCGGGGCGTGTTTTACGCAAGGGATGGATGTTCCTCCCGATGAGTTCGAGAAACTGCACTTTGACAAAATTCTTTTTCCTAAATCGTAACATTTTAGGGGATGATAGCATTTTGCGGTAGATGGCTATATTCTGTATTAAAATCTGCCAAATCGCTCGTGAATATGTATCAGTGTGACGTACTGGCTATTTGAAGGGAAATATAAAGCCCCCATTCCAGTTTCTAATCCCTTTCTTTAGTGATTTCTGTAACTTTCAAGCCTTCCAATCCGTGCTAAACCGTTCGGAGGGATTCCTCTTACGCTATCCGTGGTATCATGTCGATGCAGTGCTTGCTTCGCGTGGCTAAGCGGTTCTTTCGGAAAATTCTGCGAGAAGACCATTTAAGTTGTCAAAGGCACAGAGTTCACCACCTCTGCACATTCAGAATAGTGGCCTGCCAGGCTTTCTAAACCATAATATCGGGGCTGTTCTCGCTTGGTTGTCGGGGGTATGCGTTTTGGCATGGCGCTGCTGTCGTACGGGGAACGCTATCGAGAGCGGCTCGAGAGGCCCTCTAGTGCTCGATTAATTAGTACCAGACTTGTGTTGAAGGACCTGGGAAGCCGAAACACGTTCCGGCTACTCTCCGCAAGTCATTACTTAGACCATACCATAATCAAATACCATTGCGATCCTGGATTCCGAACGGAAGACTAGTATGCGCGACAGGTAAGGCATTCCTGCAAGCATTTGGAAACTTTTCCAACTAAAAAAAACTAGATATGTGAAGGCAACAAAAACCCCTGAATTGAGAGGGTCGATTCGATACTAGTGAATGTCCTGCTCGGATCCTTCATATGTATACTGCCAGAGATTTGACCTTTGAATTCAGCTGAGTATTGTAAAAGGAGTGTGTGGGATATTAATATTGCAGTACCCTAATGTGCAAATCTTCTAACAGATATTACAATACATGTCAGATACCGTCCAGAAGAGTACTGTACGTACGGTCGGCTTCCGAGAGAGTCGAAGATTGCGTAGAACAGAAGCATCGAAAGTCGCTTCTCAACTTCGGTCGCCACACCATATTGATTGCCGCTACCATAATATTTATTGTAGCGTTCATAGTGTAGTGTCATCAGCTGGAATAAGTTTCAGGAAGTTTGGATACAAGAGGGGAAGGATGGATGGTAAAACCAAATACTCTAGCTGAAGGTCACTCTTTACAGTAGCTACGTTTTCGATAGTTTAGGTTACAGTAGAAGATCTGTTACAGTACGATTAATAGTACTTGTGTAAGGAGCGAACTCACAAGGATTTAAAATGTAGGGTGGGAAAGATTGGTAGGTAAGACTTACCCGTAGAGGGACTAGCACGTTCATATCACTCATTTGTTGAATATCGACAATGACCTGAAAATATGCCGATTATCCTTGATGGTGAACACATTCCTTCAAAATCGAAAATTGTCAAAAAATCCCACCTTTCGCAGTAGCTTGATCATCATGCCTGGAGGTAGCTCCCGAGTGATCGCCACCAAGAAATCAGACACTGCATCTCGTTGGTTTTTCGTGAGCGACTTTAGGCGATTCATTCGATACACCTACAAGTATTCAGTAGAGTTCTAGTAAATAGTGACCATATAACTTCGTCCATTACCGTATGCAATGTGGCACCCAGTAAAGCCGCATGGTGCTCGGCGTCAGCGAAGAAATGCGACTAATGATTGTTGAGCAACGGGGGAAGGACAGGCATGGACAGAGGTAACGATTCAACGCCAACGCTGTATCCGACTCCAAGGCGCGAGGCTGAAAAACCCGCATTTCCATTTTTTGAGTAAAAAAAAAATGATGGTCTTACACTGCGATAATCTAAACAGGATTTTCTTCGAAGCGTAGTCATATGTTTCAAAGGACTGGCTGAATCTCAGTAGCTCTCGTTAATCTATTTCATGAAAGCGCATAAGACTTGAGCCCTTCCACTGCTCATGGGTAGCGTAAAGTGTGGACCACGTGCGATAGTGAGGAGGAAACACCGTACTGTCTACCTAGGGGTCGTCTCCTAAACGGTATTGGGCGGACAGCACCTATTCTAATGACACCAAGATATGCGAATGGAAGTAAATGGCGCGTGTTGCACAACAATCAGGGGCTGATCAAAGGCAGCACAAATTCAAGAAGGTTTAGTGGAGGCGTGGTAATGCTCAAGGGAACCCCCGTGGCGAGAAAAGGCGGAGAAATACTCGAAGAATACGCAAAGCGGGACCCCCTTGTGGCCATGGTTCCACAAACTAGAAGAGGTCCACGTACAGAAGCACGGACGTGCGAGCGAGTTCATCGCCAACCCGGTTCGGTGCACTATGCAACGCGACGCTTTAGCCGAATGCTCTATGTTGTGCTGCAAGGCTGCACAGCGGCAAGCTCGTGATCAAATCACAAGCGAATCTAGAGCGGCGTCGCTTGCTGGGGGCGGAGAGTTCAGACACTTGGTGCTCAGCAAACTAGTCGCTGACTGTTCGACGTGGTGTGAGCGCACAGCTGCGATTCCCGGAAGCCAATAATGGAGTCGCTGTGGCCGATAGTGCGTTGGTGCCCTATGCGTCTCACGTCTTTTCTCGTAATCGCTGCCTTGTAAACATGCTCGATGGTGCTGTCGTGACTTTTCGTTTTGCGTGTCGTGATCTATTTAGTTTTCGAACTGGGGTTGGGTGGGGATTACAACACTTGATGCGGGTTTTGACAAGCATAATACTAACCGAATCCATCATTGTAGCAGCTCGGAGATCTGGTAGGAGAAGGCTTTGCTCAAGGAAGTGGAAAAGCATGTCCTGCGAATCAATACCGTACACACGATCAAGGAACAGCAGTGACGACGAATCCTTGCGGTCTGGCGTTGTGTTGGGCAGAAGGACCAGGCAATGGCGCCGTGGGTGTCTAAACAATCACATACCGTGATCTCATTCAACAATGGCTGAAGGAAATATCAACACAACACGCTTCAACACTTCACGGCAAACATGCAGAGAAAAAACTCAAGCTATTAGGGCTCACACTCAGGGCCTCTCTTCTTGCTGGCGCTCCTCACGATCGGTGGAGACGTTGACCCTTTTAGGTGTCGGAGAGGTTTATTCTCCTTTGTGTCGTCGTCCAGATGACTTTTTACGGAACCGTAGTCTGAGTGCGATTCGACATCGTCGTCATTCGCATAGTCGAAGTCCTCCTCGCGAAGCTGCGATAGCTTCCGTTCATACTGTTTCGACTGCAGTCGATTACGATTAGCCTTCACTTCAGTGGCGAGCTTCGCAAACGAGTGCGTAACGTTCACATTGTGTTGATGTGAATTGGCGAATGAGCGACGACGAACTGTGAGTATAAACACGGTTAGTTATCAGATCTGATTAGAGAATAAGTAGGAGGATATTGACTTTTTTGTTTTTAACTGCTGTTTTGGTAAGCAGGAGGTGCGGGTTCGAGTCCCGTCTTGGGCAAAAGTTGGGACATAATTTTTATTGAGTATTCCTAATAGTTCTCATGGTTGTAAATATAGAAACGATTATAAGTCCAGTCCCATTTGGATTTAAGCGCAAATTCCGATTAAATTGAGGGCAGTCCAATTGACTGCTCCTGTGAGGTGAAGAAAGGGTTCGCGTTATTAGGCTGCGCTTGCTCAGTTGGGGTATTAAGGAAGGACGGCCAAAACAGATAACACACCGGTGGAAGAAAAGGGGGGGGCGCGATGGCACAACCGGGGGGAGTCCGGCACGGAAGTGCAAGTTTTGGTGCCGGCGCAGCGTCGGTGTGAATCAGGATCCGATTGATGGTGGTAAACGAGGGTGAAAGGGGGAACAAGAAAAAGAGAAAGGCAAATCCGGGTGTACTGGTGTACGTGTTCGATTTGCTTAGCCCTTGAGAGTGCGGTGTGAGATGGAAGCGCTTCCAGACAGATATTTCGCATTCTATAGCCCTTTACAATAGCTCGTAGGTCTCATCTAAGTATTGGCAATACTCGAACATCAGAAAGCTTTATGTTGAACATTTCTTCCTTACTTAGCGTTTTGCTGAATATGTAATCTCTCTGAAGGCCTCTGCCGACAACACATAGAGGATTCAATGAGACAGTCTGGCGTCGACTAACCAAATTACCACGAGAGCTCTCCATAATTCCACATAGCCAGCGCCAGTACTTTCTCCCTTTCGGTTAATTCGCTCTGTTTTGTCGGGCCATTAGGCAGAATCGGCTAAGCATTATCCAGCTTGATTAGCATATGTAGCAACAGAAGCGGAAAACGAAAGAAAGAAAGTCAGAACTAGCTAAATACCACATGGTTGAATGTCCTTATTTAGGTTTCATAGTCTAGGGCGGAAGTGGTGTAGTGGCAAGTGGCACGCTTACCACGCGAGCGGTCCGGGGATCAAATCCTGGGTCGTGAGTCGCCCGGGCCAACCAAGCCTTCCATCCCTCCGGGGTCGGTTGGTACCAGACTTGTCTGGGAGGATAAAAACACTGACTTGTACATCGGCTGGCCCCGCAAGTCATTGTATAGGCCACATCGCATTCAAACGCCACTACGAATGTACAAATGGAAGTAGAATGCGTGCCGCATCCCAAAAGGGATTGATCAACGGCAAATGCTTTATCCTTTTTTTAAAGTCTAGGCCAACATGGTTCTTCTTGAGAGTGCAAAGTACCGAATTCATCCGCAGGACTCTCGAATGTCATTGTATGGGCGCAATGCGCATTTGAATGGGTCGACGATTTCCGACGGAAGCGAGATACGCGGCGCGCATCGCTCATCGCGATTCCCAAACGTTTGAGACTTTTCTTGTTTTTCTCCCTGTTACTCACCAGTTTTCTTGCCATTTTCGCGCAAAGCTGCCGTTTATGTTCACAGCCGCAGCTTTTCTCTTTCTCCGCACGTGCTGTCCCTCTTCCTCTCCACCACGCCTTATCCACTTATGCTAGACCCCGCCCAGCGCTTTTGTTTCTGCGCGCGCTACCAGAATACCACACATTCATCGGCCCGACAACCACCACCACCGCCATCACGACAGCCATCTACCACTTCCTTCTGACCTCCAACGATCGATAATGTGATCGTGAAAATGATACACATCTTCTGGTTTCTGCTGCCAAATGTGCTCGGAACAACTGCCGCCGTTCGAAGCGCTTCCTACCATCCACAACAACAGCAGCCCTGCAGGCGTTATTCGATCTCAAATCGTCCGTCACAGGACTGTTCCTCGCAGAACCTCTCAGCACTACCACCACTATTCATGGACGTGATTTCGTTGAATTTGGCCCACAATTCTTTTCCGGTTATCGAGCGATTTCCGAGGAACTACAGCTATTTACACACGTTAAGGTTAGAAAACAGCGAAATAAGGAAGATTTCCGTGCAGGTTAGTGTAATTTTTAGCTCTTCATCTGTATTATGCATTTTGTAAGCTTATTTTTGAGAATTTTTCTCGAACTATTCTGATAGTAGACTTATATGTTATCCTAATAGTTATATTGATATGTTTATGGGACCAAGAAATGTAAAAATAGTTGGGCTGAGGCTTCTACTTTCGTTTTTTGGCCCCGTTTTTTGGCACGGTAACATCAGAGTAAGGATTTCGTGTTGCCTGAACAGTTTGCCTTGGACTCCTGGCAAAGGTCCTGCTTCTCGTGCTCCTGGTTCGATTCCATACGCACATTTCTTGCCTCTCATCAAGCTGGGACGGCTTTTCTTCCCAAAACTCATCCGATTTCTAATATAAGCCAAGAAGTTCCAGATAATGCCATCGTCACTATCATCTTTATCTTTCATTTTTTCTCACCTTTATCAGTAGCTGATTTTGTCTGGAAAGCTCCATTATCACCAATCGCTGTTTGATCTTTGATGGGAATCGTGTAAGCTGCATGCTCCCAGATGTCCAACTGTGGTTAAACATGGATCGGGAAAAAAAAGCTAGTGCTTCAGAATTCTGGAGTGGGCGCGGAAGTTTGCTAAAAAGCAGTGGAGTAGCTCTTGCGAATTAGGCCAAGCGAAATGGGAGAGGAACGGTCGCAAAAAGCCGCCCGTACGCATCATAAGGTTGAATCTCAACCAGGGCAACAAGGCTCATTTTGATCCGGAGTCCATTGTAGTGGCCAGTATGAGACCACCTACGAAAATAATGAAGTCAGCCAACGTGAACAATAACGTATCACTGCATGTTACAGTGTTGCCACATGTTCAATTAGCTCCGTGAAAGTAGATGTAGACCAGATCCATGGCGCAACCCAGAAACAATGATCTTTGCCTGCAGATTATTCTTTAGTTCTTTGCATGAATCAGTGGAGGGTTTGGGCACTTTTTAGCGACGCTCTCACGGCTCTCGTCTGTCCTCTTCGAAAGCCGCGCGAATAATGCTGCTGATGAATGTTTCAAGCGGCTTTCCAATAGACGATGAGAAGAGTCGGCGATTTTGGATGACACTTAAACCACCCAAACGGTGTGCGTAGCTGGGGCTGGGAAATGTCACACGACTAAAATTGTCAAGTATTTACTCAGAGGAGAACCCAGATCCTCCTTGGAGAATTTCTTGCACATGAAATATCGATGTTGTTAGCTTGCTGATGAGAAATGGGCGCACATAAATAATCCTTCTCGCATAGCTTCAAAAATGAATTCGTCCCAGACAGATGTTGCTAGACAGCAGGCTCCTGAAGATCCTGGAGTGCGTCAAAATTGCACCTGCAATAGAAAGAGAAAAGAGTCGGCCAAAAGTGGTCCGCGGTTCACACCCAGTGATTCCTTTTCTGGCATTCTCCACTCCTCAAACGCTGTGCTCTTGAAACGGAAGCCTATGGTCTTCCTGTTTTCGAGGCATGCAGCCGTCGGCTGGGCCTACTCACGTCCGGTGGCCTGACGAAGACGATGATTCTGACGATTCCTATTTGAGGAACTTCGGAAATTATCTACCTCTCGACTAGAAGCTTGCCACCAGCTAGGAGTCTTTATAACAATTCTAGGCTTTCGCTTGGAATACTTTATTACAGCAGACTGTGAATAGTAAATTACAAGGGCCACACGAAAGGTGCGTTGAATTACTCCCAGAAACGCAAAGGTGGTCTAGCAAGGAGCCTTGGATCGATTGACATCTGCTTTAGTTGTGTACTTATTGCGTACCATCTCTTGATCTCTGT